ACCTAAAGGGGCAACGATTTTGGAGTGTTCTGGAGGCAACCAATGCTGCAAATGAGTGGTTACACCAGCAGTCGGAAGAATTTTATTTGCAGGGACATAAGAAGCTGCAGGACAGATGTTGCCAGTGCATTGACTTCCTGGGGGAATATGTAGAATAGTGTGGCAGTTACAGCTTCCTAGCTCAATTTTTTCTGGGAAAGGCTCAATACTTATCAGCACCCCTTCACAATACACTCATTACTGCCCAAAAACCTAAATATCTGGCCCTAGTTTAAAATCAATTCTGGGGCTTTACTATTCTGTAGGGCTGTTGTTTGTGCAGTTCTGAAATGATCTCACCATGTTTTTCGATATCAATATTTTTGTAAATATTATAGTTGCAATATCTTCCATGAACCTCTAGTAGCCTTTAACAGCATAATAGCTTGTTCTGTGTCTCCATTTTAGTTTCCTTTTTTAAAGTCTCCTTGCAGTTCTATGACTTTGTAGACAATTTAGTTTAGATCAGAAAAAAGGGGATAGGATGAGCTCATGTTTAAACGTATAATCAGCAGACATCAATGGATCAATGGTGGCTGGCATCCATCATGGTTTGTGGATTGAAGGCACAACGGGATCTTGGTTTTTAAATATATAATATCCTCCCCCTCCCCAGTTGCTTCAGGCCTGCTATAGATCCATCTGACATCAACTCATCAGTCTGATTTGGTCTGGGATTTGAGATTTGTCCAAAGTGTTTGTACAGCCCAAGATTAAACCCCACATAGGGAAGTTGTGTGGGAGAATGTGTGCATGGCGCAGAGGGATGAGTGTAACCAAGAGATTACCATAGATAGTATTTGGATCTGTGATCAAAGAGCAAGCAGAGAGAAAATCTCTTCTTACAAAACAGTTCTGTATCACCTTGGGATATTCTCACTATAAGCAACTGAAAAGTCACGGATAAAATAAGACTTTGTATTGGGATGCCATGAACTCAATACAGCCACTTTTATTTATTCATTAATGACCCAAGAAACATTTGCCCTGCCTTCAGTCTTCCCACTTATGGCTATCCATAACCATAATTCTAGGAATGAGCTCGGGGTCAAATGAGTTGCAGCTCCACTGCCTACTGATGTAAAAAGAAAGGGATTGAAAGTGAGAATGGACTTGCATCCAGCAATCCAGCCATTTATGGCCTACAGTTCAAAATGATGCTTCACTTCTCCCCATGCCATCTGCTTCGGCACAGTGCCAGGCTGATAGCTGCTGCCACAAAGGCACCCAGGCAAGATGTTTTGCAAGCATATTGTTGCTGGGTGTCAAGAGTGACATGCCAATGCTCAGCACGCTTTCCCAGCTTGCTTCTGTTTTGTGTGCTTAGAAGGTGTCCAAAATACTAGAAACAAGCCAGAAGACTGGGGGAGGTACCTGATGGTTTGGCGCTGAGCCCTGTTAAGACTTGGCAGCTGTTCTATGTAGATCTATAGTGGAAACCAACTAAGAAGTCACTGAGAGTAGTTTTGCATGGTCACTTCCTGAACCAACATCTGTAGTTCTTGTGTATGTATGTGCAAGTGTTCCCTGCTGCATATCTAGCAAAACAAGCCAAAGGATCAAATAGCAGCTATTTTGCCAACAGCCTTAGAAACTCAGTTCCAGGCCTTTTTTAGCCAAGTTATATCCAACCCTTTATCCAGAGAGCTCAGAATATATAAATTGTGTGTGTGTGTGAAGGGGGGAGATTTTATGAAACAGATCAGTCCCCCGGTAGCCGGTAGAAGATCCCGCTGAATCAGGGCCCACGCCTTCCCCAGACTGGTGTGTGTGTGTGTGTGTGTGTGTGTGAGGGGGTGTTCCATAATCGACAGTGGCTGAACTCCAGTAGCAAGTTGCAACTAAAGTAGACCCATTGAATCAGTGGTATCTGTGAGCCAACATATCCATAAGTTCCACTGTTTCCATGGGCCTACTCTAGTTGTGATTTACCACTAGATTTCAGTCAGTATTTTGGACTCTTCTTTGGGTAATGACTCATATATGGATTGCCTTGAGGAGCATTTGCACTTCAAAATGTTACACCACACCACTGTGTATATAACACTAGAGAAGAGCTGGGTAGAGAGTTGCCATTTGGGCAGCCGATAAGGTGTTTTTTGTTTGTTTGTTTGTTCGTTGTTGTTGTTTTGGTCATTTGATGTAGCCCTCCTCTAAATCTACCAGTTAAAACATGACTTACTGCAAACAAAAATTAAACCAACCAGCAACATAAATCCGTAGCCAAGACTATTTAGGGGTGCTGCCAAGAGGTTTCTATGTTGTTCAGCAAAGCAGCACAGAAGAAAGAAGAATGAAAGAAACTGTGTTGTTTGCAAACCTCACTGTGGACTTGAAGGGTGTGCATGTGTATGGAAACTGGCATGTATTCCCACAGTTAGAGTATATGGCTAATGTAAAATATGAACTCCCATCATTCGCATATGACAAAATCTCGTTCTTGAGAAATTCTGTGGTGAGCAATGTGTACTCTATGTTATGCTCATCTTGCAGACAGAAGCAGCTGCAAGGCCAGATGACTTCTTAGACCTTTTGCTGTGACTCACTCTGTTCTGTTTTGTGAATTGTCTTTCTTCCTAGGTGTGGTGCAGTCTGAGGACAAGGTCACCTGTAATGAGTAGTTACATTTCGAATGTGGGTCATATATATCAGTTAGAGTGGAAACTCAAGCCAGGTGTACTGTAGAGCAGTGGTTCTTAACCTTGAGTTATTTTGGACTGCAACTCCCAGAAGCTTTCATCACCAGCCGTGCTGGCTGGGATTTCTGGGAGCTGCAGTTCAAAAACACCTGAGTAACCCAAGGTTAAGAACCACTGCTGTAGAGTATACTTATTAAGATCATTCAGAAGCCGAACTTCAGCCTAGTGCTCATTGCAGTGAGCTCCTTCATGTTGCAGAAGAGAAGGAGGAAGACCAGTGCTTTTTCTGGTTCTCCTGCCCCTATATTACAAAAGTGGATGACTTTTGGAAATTTGGAGGCCTTCACCCACCAAAGGTAACAAACCCCACTATATTGGTTGAACACTGTTTGCAAGTTTAAAGGTATTGCATCTAGGTAACAAACCCCACTATATTGGTTGAACATTGCAAGTTTAAAGGTATTGCATCTGGAAGACATCTAGCAGTGAAATTCTTGTAAACAAGGCACACAGGGAGTATGCATCTTGTTTTAATGTAAAAGCAGAGGGGTTTGTTTTCCCCATTCCACTGCTGGCATTTCAACAGCAACTTTGATGCAATGGGAACGTGAATGAATGTGCGCATGAACAGTGGGGGACACTTGTGGCATGTGGACCGTGTATTGTCCACCTGAGCAGGAGTCTAAGGGCACATGATGCTGAAGATAAGCAGGTGTGGTCAGTGTCTGGTTGACTTCCATGACAGAATAAAAATCGATTATAGCTGCACTAAATATATAGTGGCTTTAGCTGCCAGATGGGCGGTATAGAAATGAAATGAAATACATACGTACGTACATATGTACGTACATAAACATTTGCCTTTTGCTACCCCATCTTCTCCAGCATTTCACAAACTGAAACTGAGGATTTGGTGTGCATGAAGTGATGAGGTTGTGGTCAGAATTTGGAAAGCCTGTAGCATAGCCAACCTACCTTGTTTCCCTGAAAATAAGTTAGGGTTTTATATTAATTTTTGCTCCAAAAAACACATTAGGGCTTATTTTCAAGGGATTTTTTTTTCATGTACAACAACCTACATTTATTCAAATACGGTCATTTCATCTTCTTCTGGTTGCTGCACAATGGTGGAGGGTGGGGTTTCACTTCACTGGGGCTTATTTTTGGGGTAGGGCTTATATTACGAGCATCCTAAAATCATACTAGGGCTTATTTTCAGGTTAGGTCCTATTTTCGGGAAAACAGGGTAGTTCCATATGTCTTCACTGCAGGAACAGAAAGTAAGTGCAGATAGATTGCCGCACAATAAACAACAAGGCATTTAGAGTATAATGTCCATGGTTCTGCTCATTTGCACCAACAAGAGGACTCTGATCTCACTTTTTTTACTAAGGAAAAATCAGTCACAGAAGTAAATGCCCATAGTACTTAAGCAGAGTAGAAAAGAGAGTACTTCTGAACATGTATAGCTCTGCTTCTCAGTGTACAACAGCAGCTTCCCTTTCTCCCTATAAGCACTGGATTTAAGGAAATATATTTTATGATCATTGGTTGCTTGCTTTAGTTAAATCTTTGAGGTGAAAAATAATCAGTCGACTCTAATATCAAAAAGGGACTTTTAAAAGATTTGAGCTTCCACTTTGAGTGCTCTAGGCAAGCAAGTGGGGAAAAACAAGAATGGCTAGTTCTCCGTTTGTTTTCTAGCCTTCCAGCCTTACAACCAGTGCCAGTGCCCATCTGCCCTTGTGTCATTTGCTCCTGAGACCCTGCTGCTCTTCTACCCAGGCCTCTCTGGGGAGCCTACACCCTGTTTTGCCCCTCAGATTAAACCTCCAGAAAAATCTCCTTTGAACAAAGCTCCACCCTGATGCTGGTCCCAATCTTGCTGGAACTTGTACCTTCAGAGATCTGTCTGCTTGGCCCTGACATGTGAAAGAAGAGCTGAAATGCACACGTCTGGAATTTGAATTTCAGGGAGGAGGCCAAGAGCAGAAGACCTGAAGTTGCTATGAATATGATACTGCTGTTGCATTCCCATCAGAGGTGCAGCTTGGTAATTTTACACTCTACACACTGGCCCGGGGGGGGGGGCTTTAGCAACCTATTTGTAATATTCAGTTGTGGGGCACAAATGAACCTTTCTGTCTTCCCTCCCAATATTCCATGTTTCCAAACTGTTTCTATTTATCTGATATGGAACGTACTGACCAACTCTGTTTCTGTATGCTGATCTCCCCTTCCCTAAAAAGAAATCTGATCATGTGCAGTTTTACATTTTAAACTCAGTGGCTGAAATCCTGTTGTGCAACTGCACAGTCGTAAATGGTGATAATGTGACCAGCCACAGACATTACTCTTCCTATTGCCCTTCAGGTTCTGAAGCTTCTAGGGATCTCTTCCTACCTGAGGAAGCCTTTGGAAACCTTGAAAATGGGGGATCCTTTAATGCCAGAAAATCACCTCTGATGGTCCTGATCCTGGTGGTGGGACCAGCAGCAGCAATTTTCAGAATGAATGTCATTTAAGGCTATGGAGTTGTGCAACAGAATTTCAGCCATTGAAACCAAAGCATAATCATAATCAGAGGAATAGATGTGACATTTGCTTCTGCTGCTCTCATCCATGAGTTTTCTTGGGAATGTGTATTCTGTTGTAGAAAAGGAGATTATTTTTCTAATTTTATTGGTTTATTTGGATTTATATACCATCTTAGTGTGCAAACAATCAAGGCAGTGTACAGCCTTGAAACTATTTAGAAGTCCGAATTTTGAAAATGCACTTTTAAAACATATTTACAGTATAAGGCAGTGAGAGCAAGTGGGAACTGATGGCAGTGTACTCCACACTTTGGAAGCAACATGAACCAAAGCCTTCTCTCCATGCCCATCCAGCAAGCCTCTGAAGTCTTACTAAATTTTAGCAACTGGGCAGGTTCTTACTGAGACAAGCCAGTCTCTTAGATAATTGTGCTTAAAGGAAGCCTGGGGAACTGGCAGAGTAGAAAAGAGTTGTCCCTTAGCACTGCAGAATCAGTGGGATTTTCCTCTGACACACAGCTGCTTTTAAACTGTGTTTTAAAAGTGTGAGATCCTACTGTAACTCTCTCTGATGTCGCATCTAGTTATAACTCAGTGATTAATGGAAGGCACTCTGCATACGCTAGCATAATTTCTCACTCTCATTTTGTATGTACGCGGTTATCTAGGATTCCAGAACCATAAACAGGGCGAGGCCACTGCGACAGCTTTGCTAAAAAACACCAAAATATAGAGGTCACTGAAATCTAGCAGTAAAATCTGCTGGCGGGTGTTAGGAAAATAAATGGGGACAACTCCTGTTCCTATTCAATTTCCTAGTCCCCCCCCCTTTCTTTTTAGAAAGCATCAACTTTCTCTTCCTGGGGGTGGGGAGGCAATACCACTCTCTCCTCCTGCTCATCCTCCCCCAGGCAGTTGTGTCCATGCCTGGAGGCCGAGACGGTGGGAGGGGTTGCCAACATTGCAAGTCACAGCTCCCTAGCATTCATCTATCTATTCCAAGGCTCAACACAATAATGCAAGCTGTGGTGAAGCCAGCTATTGAACTCTGGCCAAACTCCTTCTGTCTTTATTACTTATCTCGTGGAGAAAGTGTGAGGTTATCAGCTTTTAGCACCTTGATCTGGGAAGATTGGTTTGTTAAGCAAGTTTGGCAGCCAGCCTCAGTGTACCTACTGGGGAGTAAATTCAGAGGAGATCAGCATAGTTTACTACTCAGTAACTGTGTTTAGAGTTAGTCGGTTTGTCATCTAAATTTCTTCTTTAGCAATTTCCTTCTCCTTTCTGCTTGGCGTGTCTCTTTGTTTCAGGGCTGTTATCGAGTCAAGCAACCTGATATATGCTTGAGCCACTAATAAACAAACAACTGGCTCAGTTGTTAGCTGGCAGATTAATACTAGGATTGTAAATCCATTAACAAGCTGGCCAGTAAATGAATCATTGACCTATTTCTCAGAGATAATAGCTGAGAAACTGTAACTGATGACCTATAAAAGAGGCAATTTTTAAGAAAGATTAATCGCTCCAGCTGCACAGAGCCAAGAAAGATTAGTTACCTCCTGGGTTTCGACTAATCAAAGTGGGGGGAGCCTCTTTAGAATGTACTTTCTGGCTCTTTTGCCAGCCAGCAGTTTTAGTTCAGACTGAGGATGGAGGCATACGCTATGTACATGATGAATTTGTGCTACATGCTCTGATAACCCAGGATATTTTTGGTGCAACTGGCGTACAAGTAACTTGCCTGCTACTTTTTCTGGATTGAAACAGCTCTAGATGGGAGGGCTGAGAGTTCTAATAAATAAATAACAAAATAAAATTTAAAAATCCTTTTCCAAGCTCTATTTCTATTAAGGGGCATCTATACCATCTGCTTTATAGGAAATCAGAAACCATGACATGGATTCTGGATAAAACAATTAATCAGAAAAGTCAGAGCCAGTTTATATATTATGAGTGCCACCCCCCGCAATTGGGTATTGTGTAGGTATGTGCTTAAGTGTAAGAGAGGGACTGAGAACCAGGATCTCGTAGTATGAATTACAGTCCAAAAGAAACTTGACATCCAGAATATAATTAGAATTTTCACAGATGTTGACATGACACATGCTTTTTCAGTCAATGACCCTCTGAATTTGTGTTGCTTTCAGGTTGATCTAGTAAAACCAGGGAAAAAGAAGCAAAGAAATAACAGCCACCCTCCCTATTAATCTCAACATTTCTTTCTGCCAGTAGTGCTGTCCTGTAAGAGTCACCTTCATTTCCTTGTAGCTGCTTCCTAGTGTTCCTAACACTTTCATTGTGTCTGTTTTCCTCCCTGGCTGACAGAGAAGGTCTTAACCGTGAACATCTGTGTACAACTGCTTCCCCTAAGGCAGCTGTGCTTTCTCCCTCTTTTTTGTGTCGTTGTTTAAATAAAAATATGTATAATGTAATAATATCCAAGGCTACTGCTTTTTAAAATCAACATGCAGCATTACACAAGCGCTCACAAGTTCTCTCTGGATATAATATCATGCTGCTCTAAACAAACTTTAATCTTGTGATACACTGAACAGTTCATGGAATATGCTTTTTTATTTTAAAGCAACCTTGCCTTTGGGTCTTTTACGAAGTGGATGAAACTTTGTTCTCCCTTTCAGGATGTTACATTCACATTTGTATATCCAACAGAAACATACCAATTAGCAATGCCGATTTAAAATATTGTTTCCAAGTCTGCTACAGTAGACCTACAATTGTGTCGTTTCAATAACATATCTAGAAAGACCATTTTTCTTGAAGTTATTTGAACTTTGGGGTTTGGGTATTCTGCTAGCTTATGCACACACAGCACTGTTTGCATTTAAGGGGCAAGGGTGTCTCTATAAATGTGGCCCTTACACGACTGAGTCAGGAAGTTGGCTTGGAAAAAGAGGAATGTAGTGATCTGCCTCATACCAAGACAGAGCTTTCGTCCATTTAGCTTGGCACTTTCTATTTGACCTGCATTGCTCTCCATGGTTTCCACACAGGTGTCTTTCTCAGCCCTACAAAATGCTGGGAATTAAACCTGGGGCATATTGCATGCAAAGCATCTACTTGACTACTGAGCTGTTTCCCTATTGACTGGGAATTCTGGGACTTGCAGTTCCCAAAGTTATTTTTTGAGCTCTGGTTCTGAAGCAGTAGTCTTACATCTGCTAGAATCCAGTGTCTAGCCTTGGTCAAAAATGGTAACCTATTAGTTCTTTTTCTTGTTCCTTTCCTACTGCAGGTTAGATTTCATTAAGGGTACTCCAACTTTGGGTGTGGCCATGTAAACAGGGATGGAAAAATATTTTTATATATTATATATTATATATGTTAATATTAAAATATCAGTAGTAATCTGAGAGTTGGTAATCTTATAAAAATCTTCTAATTAGCAATCCAAATAATCCCAGCTACTAATCCATAGTGGGAATTTTTGCAGAGTTTTCAATTTTTGGTAACATTCCCTTTTGCTATAAAGTAGACGTACAGAGATCTACAGACTAGAATTGCTACAAGTTTCCCAGAGTCCACTCCTTAACTTGCACTTGCAGTCTCAATAACTCACTCTGAGACATTTGTAGTAGAAAGAAACCATATCTTTACTTATACTTGCTTACAGACTTATGCATGCTGCTTTCTTTACTGCACGTATACTGGCACCCAACTTTCTTTATGTATTTAAGGATGTGCTATGTTTAAGGAACATTTAAGGACCTTTCAGAACAAGGTAAAATCCCAAGGCAGCTTACAAAAGCTAGTTAAAACAACATACAATGTTTTTATAAAAGAAAAAGGAATACATTGCTGGTATATCACAGGATATGCTCCCCAAAAATTTATACTATAACTTTAAGATTAGGAGTGGGAGTCTGAGGGGAGCCAACTGAGACAGGATCGGTGCACACAAGGAGCCAGAAAGGACAATAAGCAGTACAAATACACACATAGGGACCTCTATGGAATTATGTGTTGCTTTCTGGATCTCAGCTTCAAGCATACAATTATTTGAAGACACCCTAACTGCCATGTTAAAAGCTAACCCATACAGACAATTTCTTCTATCCCCTTTTCTACTGAATGAATGCATGGTTTATCAGGATTTATGTCCACACTTATTTTTAAAAACTGTCTTCTCAATATCAGCATCTTTTAAAGAACTCTTCCAAAAATATTGCAGAAATATTTAATAGATGAGTTACTCTACTGGTTGTTTGGTTTTACTGCCAACTGAAAGCTTCCCACAGGGGAATTCTCACTACACACAAACTATTCTCTTTGAAATCAGCATCACTTAAAAAAACCTTCTTAAAATTTTTGCAGAAATATTTAAAACAATAACTTCTCTATTGGATTTTTTGTTTGTTTTTGAGTGGTGATTGAGCACAATTCAAAGCTCCTGACTAGAAAGCTGTTTCCATGTAAAATTCACCCTCACTACAAATCAATACAGGAAAAGTACCTAATTTTTGAAGGTTTAAAAAGGTGTGGAAACCCATGGACAAAAGTACTGGATGAATTGAGATAAAGGGAATGGCGTGTGGGTACTATTAACTCAGTACTTTGAGAATAAATAAGTGGAACAGTCCTAAGAAAAATTATGATTATATTAGCTAGAGAAATATGCTTGTAATATTGTAATCCAACTGAGAAAGGGTCAAGTTTTCAAACCAGAAGAAGGCTGCAAGATTCTGACACGGTCCAACCTCATTGGTGTTCTTCAGCTGAATCAGTGCTTTGAAAGCAACCTGTTGCAATCATTTCTCATTTGACAGGCCCAAACTGAATTACATCACTTCCTAAAAACAATCAAATGTTGTACATCTCCTTAAGGCATCTTACATATTCACCACGAAGGCAGGAAACAGGAAATGTGCATGTTCTGTAAAGTGAAGGAAGCATGAGAGCAGTATCGTACCTGGTCACAGAGAGGACAACATGCAAGAGCACCAGTTCGTGTTGTCTTTCCTTCTGTTGCTGAGTGAAAGACTTCCCTGCTATGGTAAGTAGGGACATGCCCTTTTCATTGTAAAGGAAAAAACTATGCACATACACTTCTATGCTGTGGGCTATACAACTGTTTCGAAGCGTCACGCCTAGAAAATGTGGATCCTTGTAAAGGCAGTTTGTACAAACTTGCCCTGTTTCTTTAAGCTTTGCTTCCCAACTCTGCTCGCTTTTCTCTCTGTGTATCCACTTTGAATGGGACGTCCTGTGTGTTAAGAGGTATCTGAAGCATTTGTCTCTGACCCACTGCGAGTTGTGTGGTATGACTTTAAGACCTGTTTGTGTCTGAGTGTGCATGTTTCTAAGGCTGCAGTCATAGACGTGAGTAGCTGGAAGAAATCCCACTGAACTTAATGGCAGTTGTCTCTAAATAAATACGTATAATGAATGAGACAGCAACCTGTCAATTAACAACATATTATGATATATCTGATGACTATACTGATAGAAGCACCTAGAAATATCCAACATGCAAACTTGCTGTCTAGGGGTAGTGTCATTCAAGTAGTTTGTTTGTTTATTTCATTTTTTATTTGTTTGTTTTCAGAGGACCACAAGAAATGGCTTCTTTCCAATTTCAAAACAATGAGAGAGAAAAGTGCCCTAGTATGTATGTGAGGCGGTGTCTCTGATATATAGTTTAAGTAAGAGAGAGAGAGAGAAAGCTGTTATTGTTATGTTAGCTTTTAACCTACAAATTATATATTTATAAAAGGGCATATGCATATGCTGTCCCTAAATCCAGAAACTTTACACCACCTCCTCTGAAATGGGAGGGCTATTCCCTTGTATTAGGAGACTCAAGTCTAATTTCCCACAAAGGCTTGCTTTGCCACAGCACTCCAGGAAGTTAACTCGAGGTTTGTTTTCCCAGAGTTTTTCATAGCTTTAAATGTCAACACACATATCTCACAGATTTGTTTCTGCTTTACATTGCTGTACTGTTAAAAAAAGTACTTGCTCCTGGTCTCTGTTCACATTTACAGTAGAATCCTGTGCATATTTATCTAGATGTACTGTAAGTTCTACTAAATTCCTTGGAGGGTGTGATTATTCACTAGTCAGTACATTTGAGTTGTAGATGTAGAACTTAAGATATCAGTCCTTTTGGAAATGCTAGGATGAGCATGGGTATAATCTGAACTTGGTTTTCTCAGCTTAGTGCCCTCCAGATGTGTCCAACTCCCATAATTACCTCATCATCATAGGGTGGAGGGAGTCAGAGCCCAACATATTTGCATGGTGAGAATTTGGTGAATGCTGACTTAAATCTTGATAAAATCCTAAACACAGGGAAACAAATGAAATCAGTAGCAAGGGGGAAACACTTGAAAACTCCAAAAAGATATGGGAAAAACTGTTGTTATGGAAGAATAGCATTTGAACCATCAGCCACTTATGCAAGATAACTTGAATGAAAGGATTTTTTTTGTCTTAGACACATCTTTGCCTGGTAAGGTTTGGGCTCTTGGTGACGCCTGACCTTTACAAGCATGGAGTACTTGTTAATTAGCCCATTCCTAATACATAGTGAATACAATCTGGTTTTCAGATGGTCTTTGTGGAACTTTATAACATTGTTAATGTTCCTGTCAGTGGACTAATCAATTTCTGAGATAAGATGACTGGGGGGTGGGGTAATTGACACAACTGTTGCCTCTTCTACTGATTGCAACCAGTTCAGTTCTTTGTTGTTTCTTTCCTTTTCCCTGAGAAGTCTGGAGTGGTGAGAAACTAGATGTGATGCAGGTGGAGGGAAACACAGCATGTGCCTGGCTGAACCCAGGCTACAGTTCATCTGAAGATTCATTCACTGCAAAAGCGGTATACAGTACAGTACCTTTCAACAACATTGTATCAGCTCAGTATTGCATATGGGAGCTTTTATTAATAGGTCTCCAAAGAGAATTGATTCCGTCTTGTGAAGCCTGCTGTAGTTATTTTGCTGAGCATGGTTGGAAATGGAAAAAAAAATATGTTTTGGGGTGGGGACTTTACTTTCCAGAACAAAGAATGTGGTGGCACTGCAGGTTAAACCACAGAAGCTTCTGTGCTGCAAGGTCAGAAGACCAGCAGTCGTAAGATCGAATCCACATGACAGAGTGAGCTCCCGTTGCTTGTCTCAGCTTCTGTCAACCTAGCAGTTCGAAAGCATGTAAATGCGAGTAGATAAATAGGTACCACCTCGGTGGGAAGGTAATGGCGTTCCGTGTCTATTCGCGCTGGCCACGTGACCACAAAAACTGTCTTCAGACAAACGCTGACTCTATGGCTTGGAAACGGGGATGAGCACCACCCCCTAGAGTTGGACACGACTGGACTAAATGTCAAGGGGAACCTTTACCTTTACCTTACTTTCCAGAACCTCCAAGCAGGCATGTTTTTAGCTTCCTTTTATTATGAGGTGGTTTTAGTCTTTCTTTCTGTCTTTCTTTACATCTTTCTTTCTTTTACTTTCTTTCTTTGTCTTTCTTTTACTTTTTCTTTCTGTTTTTCTTTTATTTTATTATGAGGTGGTTTTAGTCTTTCTTTTGTCTTTCTTTACATCTTTCTTTGTCTTTCTTTTACTTTTTCCTTCTGTTCTTCTTTTACTTTCTTTCTGTCTTTCTTTTTTTTTTCTGTCTTTCTGTCTTTATTGTGATGTTCACCATCCAGGGAACTAGGATTCTTGAGTGATATAATAATAAATAAATAAATGCATGGACTGTACTGGCTGCCATTTTGTTTCCAGGCTCGGTTTAAATATCTGGTCTTAACTTTTAGAAGCCTTAAACATATTGGATATTGGAAGTGTTATTTTCTTTTACATTGGGGTTGGTCTCCTATAGTCCGTGGGCCACATGTCCATACCACTCATTTGTGTTCTTCCTGGACACACCACCCTGGACTCTCTTTGCCAACAATTTTTTTTGGGGGGGGGCAGAAAACAGGTGCTATTCCTGAAATCCTTCAGAGTGGCAATTCTCCTTAAAAGCAAGGCTCAGCCCTCATGTGCCGTGTATTGGCCCTAACCATGAAAGGGGTTCTGTGGAACAGATACTGTAGTGGGCTTCCAATCCCTATCAGTTTGGTTGAGCTGCTGGAGTGACTTGCAATGGGTCTGGGGGATGGAGCTCTGCTTCTTGTCCTGCCCGGTTGGTCATGAAACTAGTGATATCTGCTTCAGAGGCACTCCTTTGGGTGATTATTCCTGGGGGGGTGGGATTTTTCAGTAGCATCCAAAATATGGAACTCCATTCTTAGACTAATACGCCTACTACCTTAACAAGTAAAGAGTCAAAACTATTCTTCATAGAACTGTTGGATAGCTTAGTGGTTTAGGTACCTGGTTGTGGCACCAGAGTCTGGGAGTTTGATTCTCCACTGTGTCTCCTTGATAGGGGCTAGGCTCGATGATCCATAGGATCCCTTCCAGATCTGCAGTTCTAAAAAAAATTAAGAGATGTCAGCTGTGCTACTGCTGCCACATTCTTGCAAAAGACATGACATTTAGCTTATAAACATTAAAACTTTCTAAGGAAGTTGTTGCGAAAGTGAAACTCTAAAGACAGTAAAAAGAGTTCTTGCTCAGACAGGTTCCAAGTAACCTGACTATTTAATACTTACTAACTTTGAAAAATGTATGTGAGACTGGAGTTTTTTCTTTTCTTTTCCTATTCTGAACAAAACAGAAGCCTTTGAGATGGATATGGCTTCTGAGAAGTCGGAGTAGCTCTCTAATTTTGACATAGCCCAGTGCTGGAAGTCTTGATAGGCTGATGCCCAAGGTTTTTATTTTTTATTTTTTGGTCAATTGTGGTTTGAAAAATATTTCTAATATGGATCAGTACTGCTGGCCTGAATCCGCCTCAAATTGTCTGAAATGGTCAGAAAATACAATTGTTTGTACCATCCCCGGATTCCTGATCATCAATGCCATTGTTTGTATCATCTCCAAATCCTTGTTCATTAATGAAAGAGTAACAACACAGAACTTGCATGTTATAATTCTTGGAAACAAGAAAGAACGCAAGCCAAGCCCTGCTGGATCAGACTAGAAGCCCACCTAGTCCATCATTCTGTTCCCAGCAATGACCAATCACATCCCTCTAGGGAGTATCTTAGTAGCACATGAGGGCAGTGGCCTCCTCCCACTGTCATTTCCTAGCAAGCTGCTTTGCATCCTCCTCTTCTATATTGGGTGGAACAGAGTTTATGTCAGATTTCCCTAACCAGCTTTCTTCCAGATGTGTTGAACTTCATACATGCTATCCAGTATGGCTTATGCTCTGGCATTATGGAAGCCGGAGTGCAAAATGACTACAGAATTCCAAATTAGAAAAAAGCTGGTTTATGTTCACAGAATGGGATTTCCTACTTCTCTGCCATCCCTGCCCCCCCCAATTTTTTTAGAATAGTATGCAAGAATTACAAAGAGAGGGGAAATAGCTGGCAATATCCTCCTCTTATGAATGGAAGAGTAATTAAGAGGATCCAAATCTGTTTTTTTTAAAAGTGAGCAAACAGGGTGGGAATGAAAACTCTGTAACTTCTGCCCTCTAACAATAGGATGTTCAAATTTACAACTTGTTCTACATTCTTTTGTTAAAGGGGGAAAATAATTTTGTTTAAAAACCCACATTGCTTTCTAATCTGCAGCATTAGAACAGGTATTTAAAAAAGAATCTTAAATACATTTTATAATTTAAAATTATTGTACCTTTTAGAGAACGAGCCACTTAATGGCTCAGTTGATCTGGGATTATTCCAGCTGATGAGTCAAATATCTGCATCATCTTGCCCTAACCTGCTATTTGGAAATACCTGGAGAGATGATACACCCAAGATTGACAAAAGTCAGTCAAAATAATGCCAAAGAGATAGGAAAATTAGCAAACAGCTATCAGAAACAATAATTTAGGAACCTGAAAACTTGCTTATTTGGACTGCAGTTCCTAGATTTGCACAGCCAGCATCATCGCCCCCCAAAAGACTTTTTCAAGCTCTGTTTGCCAC